GGGCCCACGTCTAGGCCTGAGGACCTGTCCAACTCGACCCCAGATGGAGTCAGGGGGCACGGTGTCACTCTTGGCCAGATTGTGACCCTTATCCAGACCAGCCTCCTTGAGGATGGACATGGGGCCTTGTCCGCCCCAGGCAGATGGTGCCTTCCTGCAGCCTAAGCAGCTTAGTGCCAGCTGGCTTGTGCATGGCCCACATGCCCTGACCCCTGCAGAGACTGGCCCTTGAGCACACATCCTCCCAGCGCTGCACATGACCTCAGATCCCATTCTGCGTGTCAGCGCTGCCTCCTATGCTTGGCATCAACCCCGCCACAACCCATCCTCGGGGGAGTCTGTGGTGCGGTGAGAAGGTGGCCCACGGGCATTCCAGATTTGCCTCTGGAGTTTGCTTTCTTCCCAGGCAGGACTTAAACTGAAGAACTAAAAAGATGTAGACAAACCCTACCTAGTGGATGTGTAGTGCTTCCTTGGCAGGCCCGCCTTGCTGTGGGTGTGTCAGCTAGCGGGGCAGGTCCTCCAGCCCCATGCTTACTCACTCTGCAGCTCCATTCTGCAATCCTGGAAGTCTGACTTCAAACCTCCCAGCCGCAGGCTGCAAACAAGCCAGGAATCTCTCAGAAAGGACCCAGGCAGTGCAGGAGGCTGCTGCCGACCAGGCCTCTGGCAGGACGTTTGGGGAATGCACTTTGACCCAGCAGTTCCACTTCTAGGATGTTTGCGAATGAACTTGCACAGCTGCAAAGAGAAGCACGAACCGAGTACAGGCACATTCAGAACATGCTGTTTGCACAGATGACAACTTCGACGCTGTCACTGCCCATCTGTGGACTCACGGGAGAGCTGCGAGTCAGAGGTTAAAAGCATGAAGTGGGCCGGGTGCGGTGGCTCACACCTGTAATCCCAGTACTTTGGGAGGCCGAGGCAGGCATATCACCTGAGATTGGGAGGTTGAAACCAGCCTGGCCAACATGGTGAAACCCTGTCTCTACTAAAAATACAAAAATTAGCTGGGTGTGGTGGCAGGCACCTGTAATTCCAGCTACTCAGGAGGCTGAGGCAGGAGAATCACCTGAACCCAGGAGGCAGAGGTTGCAGTGAGCTGAGATTGCACCATTGCACTCCAGCCTGGGCAACACAGTGACTCTGTCTCAAAAAAACAAACAAAAAAGCATGAAGTGAATGCCCAGTCTGTACAGTTGGGCAAGAAAGAAAATGGCAGACACAAGAGGCATGGTACAGGAGGACACCGTCAGAATCACGTGACCGTGTACGCACACTGAGGAGCTACGGGACACGCCCCCAGCTGCCAGCCAGCTTCTCCCCAGGGAGAGCACTTTTGCTTTGCTTTATGCCTTTCTGTATTGCAGTTTTTAGCAATCAATTAGATATTACTGCTATAAAAAATGGGAAGCCAAGTAGCATATTACGAACAAGGATAAAAACGTGAGGAAGGGGAGCAGTGTATTAAAGGATGTTTATTTAGAAAAGAAAAATTAGCTTTGACAAGAGACACCTGCACATTTGTGTAGCCAAGGAGATGTCAGAGCAGAGGGTGAATCCTTCATGGAGACTGAACACACAGGTGGCCAGCTGTGGCAGCGACAGTGAACACGTCAGTGGCGGCCTGGGGGCAGAGGCTGAATGCTTTAAGTCTGACGGAGAGCCTGCCTTGCTCAGCCCTGTTACTACATGGAAATCACTGTACGCCACACATGTGCAACTTACAACTCTCAGGTTTCCTGAATGTGTTTTGGAGGCACTGGCCGGTGGGCCGCAAATGCTTGGAAGCTACCATGATGCTTCACACAGGACGATCATTTTGGTAACTCAAAATATAAATGCGGGCTTGGTGCGGTGGCCCACGCCTGTAATCCCAGCACCATGGGAGGCTTGAGCCCAGGAGTGTAAGACCAGCCTGGGCAACATAGGGAAACCCTGTCTCTATACACAGTAGTTCGCCTGGAGCCACAGCTACCTGGGAAGCTGAGTTTGGGAAGATCACCTGAGCCCATGAGATCGAACCTACAGTGAGCTGTGATCGTACCACTGCAGTCCAGCCTGGGCAACAGAGTGAGACCCTGTCTCAAAAAGCAAGCAACAAAATGTAAGTGCGACAAAGCTCCCAGTGAGATGCTGCTGCTACTCCGCCATTTATGCTAAAAACAAAAAACTAAAACCTATACAAACTTGAAAAGGTGGTTTATAACAGGGATGGGAGGGTTACTCTTGGCTTGGTTAAACCAAGCATCTAGCAGTGCCCAGGCCTATGCCGTCCCTAGCAGCACCTGGAGAATTTGAATGTCGAAACAGCTGACTAGTAACTGAGGGGACTCTAGAGGGGAAGTGTCCTGTGCACCAGTCACACCGCGGCTGTGCTAAGGGACTCGGGGGCAGATTCTGTGCTGCTTGGGTTCTTACGCCACGGTTTGATCTTCACATTCATTATTCAAAATCTTCCAGCAAGGATTAGAAATCAAGACAACTGAATGAAACCCATGTCTGTTTTCCTCGAAGAGTGGTCCTGGGCTCAGGTGCTCACATGGGAATTACATGATTGCGCAAAACTTGGACTGCCCTGTGTCCCTGGAGACCTCGAGCTTGTTTTTGTCTCGGACCAAGATGGCCTCATTTCCATACTGTGAGTACCACATGCTTCGGCTCCTGCTCAGGTATGTCCCGGGAGGCACAGACTCCAACTTCTGCTGTTGCTGCTGCCAGATGAGCAAGGAGGTGTCCCTGTACCGGAGGCGGGCGTAGCCTTCAGACAAGGCCTTCTCTGCCAGGGGGACGCGGCCACTCATCCCCTCCCCTGTCCTGCTGGACTCCTGGGAATCCTGCTGTTCTGAGATGGCCCACGAGTGGACAGCTGCCACAGGCTTCGCACTAAATTAACGGACAGCTTTCCCAGCTTTGGGGTTTAAGGATCCCTCGTTTAACTGAATGGTAGAAATTAGGAATTCAGCCCATTTGCAGGCAGCGTCCTCAGGAGGGTTGTGTGGCGAGGAAATGAGGCGGCCTCGCCATTCTGAAGACACCTGAGACCCATTCAGGGGACCGCACACAGGTCAGAGCGGCGCCCAGCCACAGCTCTTCCGGGTGCAGCTGTGTGGAATTGATAAGGACGTGGCGTCACACCCTGGGGGGTGATTCTGCCACCATGGCCTGGACCACTGAGTTTGAAGAGATGGATCCAGCGCCCTGAGGAAGGGACATGGTGGCCCCAGACGCAAGCTGCAAGGAGCTCCGGTGGCACGCCCTGCACGCATCTGTCCGAGCCGGCTTTCAGGGCAGCGGCTGTTCTGACCCACCCTGGGGATCCGGCCCCAGCGTCTGTTCAGGTCTCGTCTCTCCCCAAAGATGCTGCTGCAAAGGAACGAACATGCAGTCAGGCGAGGGGAAGTCAAGCGCCCCGGCAGCGGCGGCAGTCTACAGCGCAGCATCAACTGTCTGGGGGTCAGCGGCCTAGATCGAGCTACTTACGTCCGGTGGGGCAGCCTGGGAGCTGGGTGGGGAGTGAGACGGGCGCCCAGTGCCAGCTTTTTCAGTCACTGGGCGGTGCTGGGGAGGCTGCTTGTTGGGGCTTCAGGGTCTCCATCTGTGAAACAGGAGCCAGCGGCGCTTGAAAGGGCGCGGGTTCTCGGCGACGCCGCCAGGCGTCAGCCCCGGGACCGGAAGGGGCCCCCAGGGCCGCCTTTCTGCTCAGAGCATCCAGCTCCCGGGAGGCCCCTGGACCCAAACAAAAACGATGTCAGGAGAAAACGAACAGGGAAGCATCGCAACCCACTCCCGAACGCCCTCCCAGCTGCGCAGCGTCAGGGACCTCCCGTCCTGGGATACCCGCGCTGGGTCAGCCTCAGCGTCCCGAGCCCCCATTGCGCGTCCCCCCCGCCTGCGCGCACCCTGGGGCCCCAGTCGCATGGCCCGCGGCCCCCATCCCCGTGCCCCAGACCCCACGCGCTCTGGGTCGCCCCATCCTCCAGTCCCCTATCGTCCGCCCGCATCCCCGGGTCCCCCACGTCGCCCACCCCAGTCACCGCGCGTCGTGGGCCTCGGAGACGCGGGCAGCGGGGCGAGGCGCTGCAGGGCTCCCAGGGCGGGGCCTGGGGCCGCGGGGCCGTGTCTCCATGGTAGCGCCGCAGGCCTGGCGAGCCGAGCGCAGAGGCTGGGCAGGCGGGTGCGACGAGCCCGAGCCATCGATCGCTCCGGGAGGCCGGGCCGGGCCCGCCCGGAGTAGGAACTGGAAGAGGAGGAGGTGGGGCTGGAGGAGGAGGGGCTGGATGGCGAGGGTCTGGACAAGGAGAAGGGGCTGGAGGAGGAGGGGCTGGAGGAGGAGGGGCTGGAGGAGGGGCTAGAGGAGAAGGGGCTGAAGAAGGAGGGGCTGGAGGAGGAAGGGCTGGAGGAGGAGGGGCTGGAGGAGGAGGGGTTGGAGGAAGAGCTGGAGGAGAAGGGGCTGGAGGAGGAGGGGCTGGAGGAGGGGCTAGAGGAGAAGGGGCTGAAGAAGGAGGGGCTGGAGGAGGAAGGGCTGGAGGAGGAGGGGCTGGAGGAGGAGGGGTTGGAGGAAGAGCTGGAGGAGGAGGGGCTGGAGGAGGAGGGGTTGGAGGAAGAGCTGGAGGAGAAGGGGCTGGAGGAGGAGGGGCTGGAGGAGGGGCTAGAGGAGAAGGGGCTGAAGAAGGAGGGGCTGGAGGAGGAAGGGCTGGAGGAGGAGGGGCTGGAGGAGGAGGGGTTGGAGGAATAGCTGGAGGAGAAGGGGCTGGAGGAGGAGGGGCTGGAGGAGGAGGGTCTGGAGGTGGAGGAGCTTGAGGAGGGGTTGGAGGAGGAGGGGCTGGATGGTGAGGGTCTGCGCGAGGAGGAGGAGGTTTGGAGGAGGAGGAGGTTTGGAGGAGGAGGGGCTGGAGGAGGAGGGTCTGCGCGAGGAGGAGGAGGGGTTGGAGGAGGAGGGGCTGGAGGAGGAGGGTCTGCGCGAGGAGGAGGAGGGGCTGGAGGAGGAGGAGGGGCTGGGAGCGGAGGAGGGAGGAGGGTTTGGAAGAGGAGAAGGGGCTGAGGAGGTACTGGAAGAGAAAGAGGAGCAGGAGCTGGAGGAAGACGTGGAAGAGGAGCTGGAGGAGGAGGAAGAGGAGGAGTGGGGACGCCCACAACCGTGTTAGTAAGACACTGCTGTACTGTATGGCCTTACCATCTTGGTGGTTTTCCAATTCTGCTTGTGTAGTTACTTTTGCCACTGCTGTTACTGTTTCTATTAGCATTCTTACTCCCAATAATGGATACGATTATTTTTAATTAATTAAATGTCTGGGTATACTGTCTCAAAAATAGGTCTTCACTTTGGGAGGCCAAGACGGGTGGATCACGAGGTCAGGAGATCGAGACCATCCTGGCTAACACAGTGAAACCCCGTCTCTACTAAAAAATACAAAAAACTAGCCGGGTGAGTTGGCGGGCGCCTGTAGTCCCAGCTACTCGGGAGGCTGAGGCAGGAGAATGGCGTAAACCCGGGAGGCGGAGCTTGTAGTGAGCTGAGATCCGGCCACTGCACTCCAGCCCGGGTGACAGAGCGAGACTCCGTCTCAAAAAAAAAAAAAAAAAAAAAAAAAAAAAATAGGTCTTGAATTTCTCCATCTCACCCAACCAAGCCAGGCCTCTATAGTGCTCATTTGGGCTCCTCAGCAGCCCCATGAACGCGAGATCTACTTCCTTTTTCACTCCACCTCCAATCATACTCCAATAACACTCTTAGTATCTACCCCTTTCCCCTAATTTTATGGTTTTCTCCAATGCCAATGAACAAAACTAGCATAATGGAGCCTGGTGTGGTGGCTTACCTCTGAGTCCCACCTACTTGGGAGGCTGAGGCAGGAGGATCCCTTGAGCCAGGAGTTCGAGGCTGCTGTGAGCCATAATCATGCCACTGCGCTCCAACTGAGACCAAAGACCAAGACCCCATCACTAAAAAAAAGAAAAGAAAGAAAATGAGCATAGCAGACATCCAAGGAGGATGCTTAGCGTGAGCACTAAGCCCACAGTTGTGGAACGCACATTCTTTTTTTTTTTTTTTTTTTTTTTTAAGAGGGAATCTTGCTCTGTCACCCAGGCTGGAGTGCAGTAGTGCGATCTCAGCTCACTGCAACCTCCGCCCCCCAGGTTCAAGCGATTCTCCTGCCTCAGACTACAGGTGCCCGCCACCATGCCCAGCTAACTTTTGTATTTTTAGTAGAGACAGGGTTTCACCATATTGGCCAGGCTAGTCTCGAACTCCCGACCTTGTGATCCGTCTGCCTCGCACTTTCTTTACAAGTACCTACACAGGTCGTTTAGCAAAACTGATCGCGTGCTGGACCATAAATAAGTTTCAACAAATTTGAAAGCGTTTAAATCTTACGTGATTTCTCAGTCTTTCGACCTGGGAAAAGACAGCAACTGAAGATAAACTGCTTTCAAGAGACACAAGAACAAGCCTGTATACAAAGACCCATTGAACACTTTTGCCTCTATCTGGCGGGGTGTGGTTTTTCACACCTGTAATCCCAGCACTTTGGGAGGCCTAGGCGGGCAGATCACTTGAGGTCAGGAGTTCGAGACCAGCCTGGCCAACGTGATGAAACCCTGTCTCTACCAAAAATATAAAAAATTACTCCAGTTTGGTGGCAAGCGCTCATAATCCCAGCAAGCGTCCATAATCCCAGCTACTACTGAGGCAGGAGAATCTCTTGAACCCAGGCGACGGAGGCTGCAGTGAGCTGAGATTGTGCCATTGCACTCCAGCTTGGGTGACAGAGTGAGACCCCATCTCAAAAAATAAACAAAAAATTTGCCTCTGAGTTAATATGATTTGTTCTATGCCTTGAACTAAATAATTTGAATAGTTACCTGTAAGCTTCCTTTTCCTGTTGTTGTCAAAACTATATAGAACTCATATTTCTGTTCGAAACATTACTTATGTTTTGTTTTCCCGAGTCAAAAAACCATTTTTCCTTTTGAGCTATTTTATAGCTACAACAATTAAGTAAAAAACGAAGATTACCCCCTCTTTCTGCCTGATATCTCCAGAGTCTGAAAATGACTTAAAATCCCATTGGCCCCAATCTGATTTGATATCAAGCACCCTCCCTCTAGGCCCAGGGACGATTGCAGAAGAGGTAACTCATGAGATTGTAAGGGCTGGTTTCGAGGGATAAAATGTGTTCAGACCCTCTGAATCAAAGACGGTTCACACATACCTAAATAGCTGATAGCTCAATACATAAAACTTAGGATAAGTCAATTCTGTAACCTCACTTTCTGGATTTTGGTTTTTGACTCAGCTTAATACATAAAACTTAGAGGTAAGTCAATTTTCTAACCTCACTTTTTGGATTTTGATTTTTGGCTCTTACACAAAAGGTTGGGGTTTTTTTGTTGTTGTTTTGTTTGTTTGTTTTGTTTTGTTTTGATTTTTTTGAGATGGAGTCTCACTCTGTGGCCCAGACTGGACTCGGCTCACTGCGACCTCCACCTCCTGGGTTCAAGCAATTCTCTTGCCTCAGCCTCCCAAGTAGCTAGGATCACAGGCATGTGCCACCATGCTGGTCAGGCTGGTCTCAAACTCCCGACCTCGTGATCCATCCGCCTGCGTGGTGGTGGGCACCTATAATCCCAGCTACTTGGGAGGCTGGAACAGGAGAATTGCTTGAACCCGGGAGGTGGAGTTTGCAATGAGCTGAGATCACGCCATTGCACTCCAGCCTGGGCGACAAGAGTGAAACTCTGTCTCAAAAAAAAAAAAAAAAAAAAGGCTTTAAAAATTAAAAAAAACAAATAAATAAAATCCTAAGCCCCCCCAATGGATTGAACAGACCTCCTCTTGGCTAAGGGAACCCCAGAGAAACCTGAAAAACAGCATTCCTGGCCGTGACAAGAAGGGAGGCTGGACATGCCTCATTCTTCCCTCTCCCTTTTGGAATTTAGGCACCACTGACCAACATCATTGAAATAGAGGTCGTGACATTGACAAAACAGAGTTTTTGTTTTGTTTTGTTTTTTGAGACAGAGTCATGCTCTATTGCCAGGCTAGAGTGCAGTGGCATGACCTCGGCTCACTGCAACCTCTGCCTCCTGGGTTCAAGCAATTCTCCTGCCTCAGCCTCCCGAGTAGCTGGGAATACAGGCGCCCACCACCATGCCCAGCTAATTTTTGTATTTTTACTAGAGACGAGGTTTCACCATGTTGGCCAGGATAGTTTCAATCTCTTGACCTAGTGATCCACCTTTCTTAGCCTCCCAAAGCACTGGGATTACAGGCGTGAGCCACCACGCCCAGCCAAAACAGACTCTTTATGGCAACAAGATACTAAATTCTAACCAGACCCTTGTATAGCATCACATGACAGATAGCAGACCCTGAAGGAAAGGAAAATATTTTACCCCAAAATGTATTTCTTTTTTTTTTTTTTGAGATGGAGTCTCGCTGTGTCACCCAGGCTGGAGTGCAGTGGCATGATCTCGGCGCACTGCAATCTCCACCTCCCAGGTTCAAGCAATTCCCCTGCCTCAGCCTCCCGAGTAGCTGGGATTACAGGTGCATGCCTCCACACCCAGCTAATGTTTGTATTTTTAGTAGAGACGGGGTTTCACCATGTTGGTCAGGCTGATCCTGAACTCCTGACTTCAGGTGATCCACCAGCCTTAGCCTCCCAAAGTGCTGGGATTACAGGCGTGAGCCACCATGCCCAGCCCCCAAATATATTTCTTTGACTTATTTTGGAATGTCCCTGCAAAGCCGTCTTCTGTGGGGGAAATTTACATCTCTAAAGCATCTCCATTAGGAGCCTGGCCTTTCCTTTCTAGGCCTTTCCTGGATTTAGGAGAAATTAAATGAGAGTCTAATACAGGGGGGTCCAATCTTTTTTTTTTTTTTTGATACAGAGTCTCTGTCACCCAGGCTGGAGTGCAGTGGCGCAATCTCAGCTCACTGCAAGCTCTGCCTCCTGGGTTCACCCCATTCTCCTCCCTCAGCCTCCGGAGTAGCTGGGACTGCAGGTGCCTGCCACCACACCCAGCTAATTTTTAAAATTTTTTAGTAGAGACAGGGTTTCACCATGTTAGCCAGGATGGTCTTGATTTCCTGACTGTGATCTGCCCTCCTCGGCCTCCCAAAGTGCTGGGATTACAGGCATGAGCCACCACGCCCAGCCAGGGGGGTCCAATCTTGTGGCATCCCTAGGCCACATTGGAAGAAGAATTATCGGCTGGGTGCGGTGGCTCACATGATTACTGTTTTCTGGACCATGGTCACTCATTGGCTCAGAATAAACTTTTAAAAATATTTTACAGCTTTTTTTTTTTTTCATCAACAAGGTTGACACAAGGTTGCTTGATGGAAAATTAATCTACAGAATCAACTACTGTTCTAAATGATAGCAAAAAGCAGAAAACAATTTTTTTTTTTTTTTTTTGAGACAGAGTCTCGCTTAGTCGCCCAGGCTGGAGTGCAGTGGCGCGATCTCGGCTCACTGCAAGCTCCGCCTCCCGGGTTCACGCCATTCTCCTGCCTCAGCCTCCCGAGTAGCTGGGACTACAGGCGCCCGCCGCCTCGCCCGGCTAATTTTTTGCATTTTTAGTAGAGACGGGGTTTCACAGTGTTAGCCAGGATGGTCTCGATCTCCTGACCTTGTGATCCGCCCGCCTCGGCCTCCCAAAGTGCTGGGATTACAGGCGTGAGCCACCGCGCCCGGCCAGAAAACAAATTTTTAAAAGATACCGTTTACAGGCCAGGCGTGGTGGCTCATGCCTGTAATCCCAGTACTTTGGGAGGCCAAGGCAGACAAATCACCTGAGGTCGGCAGTTCGAGACCAGCCTGACCAACATGGTGAAACCCCATCTCTACTAAATATAAAAAGTTAGCTGAGCATGGTGGTGCATGCCTGTAATTGCAGCTACTTGGGAGGCTGAGGCAGGAGAATCGCTTGAACCCAGGAGGAGGAGGTTGCAGTGAGCCAAGATTACACCATTGTACTCCAGCCTGGGCAACAAGAGCAAAATTCTGTCTCAAAAAAAAAAAAAAAAAAAGATTCCATTTACAATAATTTCAAAATAGATCAAATACCTAGAAATGGGGATGGATGCCCCATTCTCCATGATGTGGTTATTCCACATTGCCTGCCTG